CACAGATGAAATTTTGGTAAACTCTCTCTTCTTTATCGCTATTTTAATGCTAGATGTTCGGTCGAACTACGTTCTTTGGTTCCATCAGTCCAAAATTCCCTAGATAGGGCCCGCAAGCCACTGACACTGAACTGAGTCATCCTCATTCCTTTCGTATTCCATTGGTAAGGAGGAAGTTCTACGCAGACAACATTTTCCACAGAATTGTTGCATTATAAAACAAACTCTCGAAAGGATGATTCCTCGATCACTACAATCATAATCTTTGCAAGTCCAGAGTCAACCGCTATCCTACATATCCTCATAAAATGCATCTCTTGCACACTGTACGCCCTTTCAAAAACCTCATTTACTAACCCTTGACCTTAAGTGGTTTTTCGAACTTGTATTGGATGAAAAAAGAAAAAACACTTTAAAAGGTATAAATCCCTATTCCCCCCCCCCAGTAGTAGACTGGAATTGAGGTCTCATCAATTTACAGTTAAAAAGGCTAGATGTAACCGTAAATTCTATTTAAAAAATTTTCTCGCACTACTCACTTGTGGAACTCTCTTCCAACTTCTTGCTTCCCAGTCAACTTTGATCTTCAAAAATTTAAATGCAATGTCAATCGTTATCTTCTGTATTCTTAATTCTTTATTTTCCTCTCCTTAATTGTAGTTTTTTTCCCATATTCTCATTAACCTCTTGATTCTTAGTGGCTTTATTGCCTTGCTTGGGATGAAATGATTAAAAAAAAGTTAGGTATTAATAGCAGAGAAGACTTGTTTGTCTACTTTTAATTGGCACTCTGTCTAGAAAAACAACACTGAATTCAAAACCGGTCGAGAGATGGTTTAGCAACTCCACCCTGTAAAAAAGCCGACATGATACGAAAATAAGAGCAACAAAGCTTAGCTTTGTGAGGCTGTAGCCCTAGGATGACGAGGGTGTGGCCCTATACTCCACCGGGAAATATATAAAATTAGCGTATAGTGTAACCCAGATATAAGTGAGTTGTCGGGACCGGAGAAGAAGTCTCTTATATCCGGGTTTCTCTTATATCCGGGTTTGGTGTATTTTATATACATTAACACAGGCTCTAATTTGGGACCTGAGAAAATCTCTTATATCCGGGTTTCTTATATCCGGTTCTCTTATATCCGGGTTTCGTCATTTTTATACATTAACACAGGCTCTAATTTGGGACCAGAGAAAATCTTTTATATCCGGGTTTCTTTATATCCGGGTTTATATTATATCCGGGTTTCGTCTATTTTATATACATTAACACAGGCTCTAATTTGGGACCAGAGAAAATCTCTCTTATATCCGGGTTTCTCTTATATCCGGGTCTCTTATATCCGGGTCTCATATCCGGGTTTCTATTTTATATACATTAACACAGGCTGTAATTTGGGACCAGAGAAAATCTCTTATATCCTTATATATCCGGGTTTGGGCTATTTTTTCTCTTATAATTTGGGACCAGAGGTATATCTCTTATATCCGGGTTTGGTCTATTTTATATACATTAACACAGGCTCTAATTTGGGACCAGAGAAAATCTCTCTTATATCCGGGTTTCTCTTATATCCGGGTTTCTCTATATCCGGGTTTCTTATATACATTAACACAGGCTCTAATTTGGGGAAAATCTCTCTCTTATATCCGGGTTTCTCTTATATCCGGGTCTCTTATCAGGTTTCTCCGGGTTTAGGCCCTATTTGTATCCAGAGAAAATCTCTTTATATCCGGGTTTCTTATATTCTCTTATATCCGGGTTTCTCTTATATTTGGGTTTCTATTTTTTATATTTTTTGTATACATTAACACAGGCTCTAATTTGGGACCAGAGAAAATCTCTCTTATATCCGGGTTTCTCTTATATCCGGGTCTCTTATATCCGGGTTTCTCTCATATCCGGGTTTGGGCTATTTTGTATACATTAACACAGGCTGTAATTTGGGACCAGAGAAAATCTCTCTTATATCCGGGTTTCTCTTATATCCGGGTCTCTTATATCCTGGTTTCTTTTATATCCAGGGTTTGGGACCAGGTCTTATATTTTATATGGTTTCTCTTATACATTAACACAGGCTCTAATTTGGGACCAGAGAAAATCTCTTATAATATATCCGGGTTTTCTCTTATATCCTTAACACAGGCTCTAATTTTTCTCTTATATCCGGGTTTCGTCTATTTTATATACATTAACACAGGCTGTAATTTGGGACCAGAGAAAATCTCTCTTATATCCGGGTTTCTCTTATATCCGGGTCTCTTATATCCGGGTTTCTCTCATATCCGGGTTTGGGCTATTTTGTATACATTAACACAGGCTGTAATTTGGGACCAGAGAAAATCTCTCTTATATCCGGGTTTTCTTATATCCGGGTTTGGGCTATTTTTATATCCGGGTCTCTTATATCCGGGTTTCTTATATCCGGGTTTTTGGGTTTGGTCTTTTTTATACATTAACACAGGCTGTAATTTGGGACCAGAGAAAAATCTCTCTTATATCCTGGTTTCTCTTATATCCGGGTCTCTTATATCCAGGGTTTCTCTCATATCCGGGTTTATCCGGGCTATTTTGTATACATTAACACAGGCTGTAATTTGGGACCAGGGAAAATCTCTCTTATATCCGGGTTTCTCTTATATCCGGGTCTCTTATATCCGGGTTTCTCTTATATCCGGGTTTGGGCTATTTTGTATACATTAACACAGGCTGTAATTTGGGACCAGAAAAATATCCGGGTTTCTTATATCCTCTTATAAATCCGGGTTTCTCTTATTCTTATATCCGGGTTTCTTATTCCGGGGTTTTAACTCTTGGGATATCTTATATCCGGGTTTCTCTTATATCCGGGTTACTGTATAACATTATAGTGAACTATTCCAAAACAAAACCTACCCTATTCCAGACACAAATGTGGATCTTTCATGGCTATATATACGATCCCCACAGGTTTTAAATTTTATTTCATTAAAACATGTTGTTTTTAAAGCAGAGGATCTCAAATGGATACACGTTTACCGTATGGATTAGTGGCAAGAAAAACAGTGTCTGTGAAACGAGTTCAGATTATGGCCTCGCCCCAGGCTTTCATTTCACTAAAGCTCTTTGGAAAGTTATAAAATCATCATTTCCTTCACTAGCTATATGTTAAACAGTTTTGATAGATTAAAGGAAGGCTCAATTATAATTGTTGCCTGAATAACATAGACACCTTCTGATTCAGTTTAAACTTATGCCTTGTGTTTTTCACATATTTTGGCCATTTTGCTTAAATTTCGTATTTTCTTTATCTCAGGTGAAAAGTCGAAAATTTTCAAACATACTCCAGTGAAATTTTCACTTTGGAAATAATTTAGATAGATGGGCAAAAAAAAAGTTTAAACAAATTCCAGGACAATATGAGTTAACATTGACGCTTTTTTTTCCATATATTGTAACTGTTTCCTTTAAAGTTCGTATTGGTTTTATTTTAGAGGAAAATTTGGAAGATTACAAACATATTCCAGTGAAATGTTCACTTTGCAAAATTATAATCTATAATTATAGATTAGATAGCTCATAAAAACTGGGATATGGTTTAAATAAATCGCTAATGTCAGATAAATAATTATAGGAGACTTATTAAAAATTTACATATCCTTCTTGAATAATCTTATAAAATACATGGAAATAAATTGCCATTTAGCTTATGGTCAGTATGGTCATTAAATACAAAACTGTAGATCCCCCCCCCTATTTACTTGCCTGTCTGTGAATTCGTTACTAAAACTCACGAATGTCATGTTTTGACGCTCGATTCTAAAAACGGTACACATAAAAAATGTTGGCTTCTTTTTTTTCATTTATTTTAACCATTTTGCTTAAATTTCGTATTTTCTTTATTTCGGGTGAAAAATTGAAAATACTCAAACATATTTCAGTGAAATTTTGACTTTGGAAAATTATAGTTTAGATAAATGCGGAAAAAGAAGGCTTCATTTTGAACTGGCACCATGACGGAATAAGTTAAATTGGCGCCTTCTTTTTTTCCCATATAATGCAATTATTTTGTTTAAAGTTCGTAAAATAAAATTTTAGATAAAAACTTAGAGAATTTTAAACATATTTCAGTGAAATGGTCACTTGTCAAAATTATAATTTCTTATTATACTTCAGATATATAGTAAAAAAAAAAAGTGATGTCAGTTCAAACTGACACCAGAGGGATATGGTTTCAGCGAATCGCTAATGTCAGATAAATCATTTTATTAGCAACTTAGATATCTAACTATAATATCCACTCATTTTGGATAAAATTAGATTAACTCTTCACTCCAATTGCCCCAGTCCACACCAGATTCGTGCAATTTAAATAATTCTCCTTGCATAATCTTATAAAATGCTTAGAAATAAAACCATTTAGCTCATGGTCAGTGTGATTATTAAATACAAATCTGTAGATTCCTCCTCCTATTTATCTGTCTGTCTGAGAATTCGTTACTAAAACTCACGAATTTCATCTTTTGACCTTCGTTATAAAAGACGGTGCACATAAAAAGCGAATTCATTCTGGTACCTTTAAGAATAAACAGGCGTTTTATTTTTGTCGAATGGAGTGTAGAATGGGATGATGTTGTACAAATTCAATAAATGCTATATAGTCCATTGGTACTGGAAATTAGGTTTCAGCATTTGATTGGCCCTTCCTATAAAGCCGCGAAATCTAATAATTGTTGTTTAAATAGGAAATCGGTCGCTCAGCTGCTTCGGTTCCCAACATACCCACGTTTGCTTTACCGTTGCTGATTTCACGATCTTTCACTTTTATAACAAATATCTTTTTCATTCTATCTCTATTTCCTTCATTATATTTTTTTCTTTCTTTCTTTCTTTCTGCAAGTGAAGATGGCTTTATCATCTTACATTAACACTTATTCCATTCTTTCATACATTTGTTGGCGGTTTTTTTTTGGGTGGGGGGTCATAATTTTTATTCGCTCGTTACGGCTTACAGCCGCATCACGTTGAAACACCGGTTCCCGTATGATCACCGAAGTTAAGCAACGTCGAATTTGATCACTACCTAGATGGGTAACCGCTTGAGAATAACAGGGGCTGTAAGCTTGTATGTGAGGGTGGTGTAATGGAGATTGTTTCAGGAGTGTTAATCGAAGTGCAGAGTTTCAGTTGGGTTCGTTATATTCACTTGCGTGTAAATACCCTTGGGAAAGATATGAATTCATCACATCTCTCCCCAACTATGGGTTAATTAGTAAGACGTGCATCAAAAATGATTATTATCTCCAAAAAAAAAAAGTTACAATTTAAAAATATTTTCTGGCATTAAATATCTTGCAAAAGGTTGTTAAGCCGTAAAATAACGAATCGATCAATAAATTCCCTCTTTTCACGTGACTTTATTTGCACATTTAATTTTTAACAAATATTTTAAGCTTTTTAATTCATAATTAAATATTTAATAATTATCTTTATTATTTATTATTATTTATATGCCTATATCTTTATATGTTTATACATGTTTATATATATTTATATATATAAATATAAAAATGTCTTAAAATAATTGTCGGACTTTGTCCATTTCATAATGTGTGACGTCATTTGCTTACATTTGGATTTGCATTGAGCAGATATGAATGTACGTGAGAGAGTCATCGAAGATTGTAGTTTGAAGGCAGTAGAATTGACCTTGCTAACTGTACGCTCCTCTGTGGCCGAATCGGTTACGGCACGTCAGGCTAATGACGGTTCCGTATAGGATACAGATTTGATTCCTGTCGGAGGACGAATATTTTCTAAGAAAATTTCTCGGACATTCAGGCTGGTAAATTTTATTTAATACTGTTTATTATAAACAGAAAATTTACTTAAATATTTGTATCTATAAAATGAATGTATAAACATAAAAATGTCTTAAAATACCTATATATATAACCAACAACTACTATTCTTAAAAGAGTGTAGAGCAGATATAATTATTTATTTAAAAAAATTATGACATAAATATGTTATAAAATCACTACAAAAATAGCCATTTTGTTTCAACACCTCCGGTGTCTTATCAAGTGATGATGTTGAATGTAAAATAAGGTGGTGTTGAAACAAAATTACTATTTTTGTAGTGATTTTATAACATATTTATGCTATAATTTTTTAAAATAAATAATTATATATATATATATATATATATATATATTATTAAATAATTAACTCACTTTTTTCTACTCTTTCTTTCTTTTTTCATTTTTACAGTTTCTTTTCGTTAATTTTTATTTTACTCTCGCCTTTTGCTTTACTCCTTCTCTCTTGTTTTGATGGGTACCGTTTTTCGCTTCTCATAAGCGGGTTCGTTGCAATAGCTACCCCCAAACACGCCTTTTCTTTCCCGTTCGCCATGGGTTAATAAGTAAGACTTGTATCACCAAATCATTATTATCTAAAAAATTTCTTACAATCTAAATATTTTTTTACTTTAAATAACCTGTCGAATTTGTTAGTGAGGGCCTCAGCCTAAACACGGAGGCCTACATCAAGTGCCTTGAGGAAATAGCTCTGCCCTGTGTCAAGAGGATGGCTGCTGGGAGATCCTGTGTCTGGCAACAGGACTCTGTACCATGCCACAGAAGCAGGAGAACCCAGACATGACTGTCAGACAATTTCTGCGTCTATATCACCTTTTACATCGGGACACCTAACTCCCTAGACTGCAAGCTTCTTAATTATTATGTGTGGGATGCAGTTGAACGAGAGACCAACAAAACTACCTGTAACTCTAAAAATGAACTTAAGGCAAGGATTATGGCAGCATTCACCAATTTAAACAAGGAGACCGTCTAGAAGAATTGCAGAAGATTCCTAAGTCGTAGTTGAAGCCAATGGCGTTTTTTATTGAATAAATTTACTCTTGAGCATTTCAAGATATTTTTGTGGAATGTTGGTAAATGTACCTGTTAAAATGAGATGTCAGTGTTTTCATTGTTGCGTAATTTACACTACAATTTATTCATCGCAAACTGTATGTCATTCCTTGCACCTTTTTATCCTGTTATTTCATTTGAATTCTCATAAAATGCTCTGCTTTTTTTCTTTTCTTTTTTTTTTTTTGAACAAAATCTATCTCGCTTTCTTCTACTTCTTCTCGCTTTCTTCTTTTCATTTTTACACTTTCTTTTCTTTAATCTTCTTTTTCATCCTTCTTTTTGTCCTACTCTCTGTCTTCTTTTGATGGGTGCCGTATTTTGCTACTTTTATGAGGTCCCTATGCATTAGACGTTCCCCAATGTTTTGATGGAAAAAATTAAAAAAAAAACGAAAAGTTTTCGCCTTATACTTCATAGCCCACACCGCTGTCCCCAATTTTACCCACTGAATAGCATATTTCAGCCTGACGACCTTACTAATCGTGACGAATTCATCGCAGATCAACTAGTAACAAATTTATGCTATTTAGAATGTAATAATTAGACCGACTCCTGTCACCGACCTTCAATTTATAGGAAGCAGTATGCTTTTGGAGACATTTTATAGGGTAATAAATGCGTCTTATAAGAAACAAAATACGGTACTCGTTCTTCACTGTTCCTTTTACTTTTACTCCATTTTTCACTTTTACATCTTTTATATCTACTCCTTGTTTTACATTTCCTATTAGATATTAAATTTCTAATCCTTCTTTTACATCTTTTATTTCTACACTTTCTTTTACATCTATCGTTTTTATTCCGTCTTTTACATCTTTCATACATCTTTCATTTATACTCATTCTTCTACATTTTCTTTTGCATCTTTCATTTATACTCCTTCTTTACATCTTTCCTATATACTCATTCTTTTACATCTTTTTACATCCTTCATATATATACCTTCTTTTACATTTTCTTTTGCATCTTTAATTTATACTCCTTCTCTTACAATTTCTTTTACACTTTTCATTTATACTCGTTATTTTAAATTTAGTTTACAGCTTTCAATCATACTAATTTTTACATCTTTCTACATCTTTCATATCTACTCCTTCTTTTAAATTTCTTTTACAAGAAATTTAAAAGAAGGAGTAGTCATTCATACTCATTCTTTTAAATCTTGTTTACGTCTTTCATATTTACCCCTTCTTTTATCTTTACTTTTACATTTTTTATTTCTACTCCTTATTTTACATTTTCCTTTGCATTTTTCATTATACTCCTGTTGCATCTTTCATACATACTCATTCTTTTACATCTTTATGACATCTTTCATATGTATACCTTTTTTTACATTTTCTTTTGCATCTTTCATTTATACTATTTCTTTTATATTTTTTTGCATCTTTCATTTATACTCCTTCTGTTACATCTTTTTTACATCTTTCATATCTATTCCTTCTTTTATATTTCCTTTTAAATCTTTCATTTCTACTCCTTATTTTAATTTCCATTTATATTAATTTCTTTTATATTTAGTATTTCTTTTTTTTCTCTCTCTTTCGTTTTCTCCCTTCGTTTCTTTCTCTCGGTTTTCTTTTATCTTTAGTATTTGTTCCATTTCATTCTTAATATTCTCTCTTTTAGCCTTTCAATTAAGTCTTCCCTTCATATTTAATATTTCTTTCATTTTCTCCTTCAGTTTTCTTCCTCCTTTTTTTCTTCTAAACTTTTCTTTTCTTTACCGTTTAACTCTCTCAGCATTATCTTCCTTCTAGTCTTATTTTCTCATTTCTTTCTTTTTTCTTTCTATGTGTGCTCATTTCTTTCTTTCTTTCTTTCTTTCCATATTTAGCCTTTTCTTTCTTTTCCGATTCCGTTCTCCTCTTTCGTTCTTTCTTTCTTTCTTTCTTTCTTTCTTTCTTTCCATATTCCGTTCTCCTCTTTTTATCTTTCTTTCTTGTTTCATTCTCCTCTTTCTTTCTTTTTTCTTTCCATGTGTGCTTCTTTCTTTCTTTCTTTCTTTCTTTTTTTCTTTCTTTCTTTCTTTCTTTCTTTCTTTCTTTCTGTTACCGTTGAAAACTATCATTTGCACCGTCTTCTTATTTCTATTAATAAATTCTTCTTAATTTTTTTTCTTTCCCCATGACCTCATAATCATTCTCCCTAGTTTCATTCATTTCTTTGTTATTCCTCCCTTAATTCTGTCTTTCTCTTCCATCAATTTCATTCCATCGAAACTCAAATGCCTGCATCTTTCTTCTCTATAGTGACCATTTCCATATCCTAAACAACGACGGTACCGTCTTATCTGCGCCATAACAAATGGAGCTAGTCGTTGCAGGTAAGTCACTCTCCGTAATTGATAACAGGAGTTTGCCATCAAATATTTCTGATGAAGATACACGAGCCATAATTGCTGATAATGCCGAAACCTCGTTTACTGATTGGCTCGAGTGGGTTATTTGTCCATTAAGGCTATGTTGTCCCGCCGTGTGGTCAGTCGAGTGAGTAATAATGGAAAAATCAGTACTGGTGTTCTGACCAATGGCTGCATAATGGGAGCCACTATAAAACAGACGGTCAGAGGGTTAATTTTCGAATCCGGCGTCCAGCAGGGAAGAGGTTTTATGAAGATCAGGAGTAAAACAAGGAAGAAGAATTTAAATCGATGAAAGTGGTTAGGGAATGAGAACCAGAATAAAAAAGAAATGAATGAAACTAGGGAGAATGATTATGAGGTCATGGGGAAAGAAAAAAAATTAAGAAGAATTTATTAATAAAAATAAGAAGACGGTGCAAATGATAGTTTTCAACGGTAACAGAAAGAAAGAAAGAAAGAAAGAAAGAAAGAAAGAAAGAAAGAAGCACACATGGAAAGAAAAAAGAAAGAAAGAGGAGAATGAAACAAGAAAGAAAGACAAAAAGAGGAGAACGGAATATAGAAAGAAAGAAAGAAAGAAAGAGAAAAACGAAAGAAAGAAGGAAAGAAAGAAAGAACGAAAGAGGAGAACGGAATGTGAAAAGAAAGAAAGGGGCAAACATGGAAAGAAAGAAAGAGAGAGAGAGAGAAAGAAAGAAATGAGCACACATAGAAATAAAAAAGAAAGAAAGATGTGAATGAAACATGAAACAAGAAAGAAAGACGGAAAGAGGAGAACCGAATATGAAAAGAATGAAAGAAAGAAGAAGAAACGGAACTATAAGAGAAACACTAAAAAAGAAAGAAAAAAGAAAGAAAGATAAAAAAAAAGGAAGGAACGAATGGTTGGAGAATAAAAAAAGACTGGAGGTGATGACTGAAATAGGAAAGAAAAAGAAATTGAGAATAGAAATAAAAAAAGAAAATTGACGAATAAAAGAAATTAACGAAGAATTTCATGGAGAGGAATAAGATATTGCTGGTGCTAAAGAATTGTCATTCTAATAGAGACAGTAACGCGATGTGATCGAGAGGAAATAAATGACTGTGACCAACAGAAGCTGAGAACAAACAGACAGATGGATAAAGCAGGCTGTTACACAGAGCAATTGTCCCCGTGTAGATCTGCAGGCAGGACAGAATGGATGAGAAATCGTTAATGGGAAGTCATAGGTTCCAAATCTGCTTGTAATAATCGACACACAAAGAGAATTCGCGCTCTTTTTCTCTCATGCATTGCACAGAGTTACTTTTCTCGTGTGGCATGGAGTGAAATTAGCAACCATAAATGCGATTTGGTAGAAGTAAACGGCTTTTACGGACTTCATGCTTAAGTAATGGGATCAATTCGTCGAAAGGAAAACCCATAAGGAAATGCATCACCAGAATCATATATTTCAGGTAAAAGCGTTCTGAAAATCTTGTGTCGTTATTTTGATGTTTACTTATTTTCTTTTTTTTTTTTTTTTTTTACATTCAGACGTCTCATCACGTCCACATGTGACGCGGAAAAACCATAGCATCACAATTTGAATGCTTCAACATTTTTTAATATTCCCTAGTATTATTGAAAAAGTTTATTGAGAAGTTTCTCTTGAAATGTTCGCACAATGGTCTTACATTTTCACATCAGTTTTGCGATAATACACGTTATCTAATGCCAATACCACAAAAACATGCATTATCTATCTATCTATCTATCTATCTATCTATCTATCTATCTGTCTGTCTATTCTAGCCTGCTTATATCTATCAATCTATTTGTCTATCTATTCCAGTTTGTTCATATCTATCTATCTATCTATCTATTTCAGCCTGTTTATATCTATCTGTCTGTCTATCTATCTATTTCACTTTGTTCATATCTATCTATCTATCTATCTATCTATCTATCTATCTATTCTAGCTTGTTTATATCTATCAATCTATTTGTCTGTCTATCTATCTATTCCAGTTTGTTCATATCTATCTATCTATCTATCTATCTATCTATCTATCTATCTATCTATCTATTCCAGCCTGTTTATATCGATCTATCTGTCTCTCTCCCTATCTATCTATCTATCTATCTATCTATCTATCTATCTATCTATCTATCTATCTATCTATCTATCTATCTATTCCATTCTGTTCATATCTATCTATCTATCTATCTATCTATCTATCTATCTATCTATCTATCTATCTATCTCTGGGGTATATCTATTAGATAGATAGATAGATAGATAGATAGATAACTTGTATCTTCCTAATAAAAAGAGTACTTATATAAAAACGGCCACAGATTAATAGACCACCCTACTACGCCGACTGACCCCCAAAAGTAAATACATTAGAAATCTTCCTACTAGACAGACACACATTCACAATTACGAATACACATTACCATCCTGTGCCCACTTAGACATGTTAGAACTGTTATAAACTGACATATATAAAAATTATCTACGGTTTTAATGCACGTGGTACGTGACTGACCAACGTGAACCTACTAGAACAAAACTGAAAATACCAAATTTATTTCTTTTTGTCTGTTTTCTCTCAATCTCTGACGAAGCTTTATAAAAAAAATGAAACATGTCCGAGTGATAAATGTTTCCTATTTGTTATTCATCTCATCATAGATAGATAGATAGATAGATAGATAGATAGATAGATAGGCCAGTGTACGAGATGTGTTCAAAAGGTATCCGACTTTATTTTCCCCACCAAAACTAATACCCCGGGGGCAAAATCCTTTGGATGGGAGATGACGCCACCCATCCTGTGTTCGGTCATCTTACTTGAAAACGAAAATCCGCGTACTACACGTCTATTGTCTAGGCGTAACACACAAAAACTGACACAGCCTACCGGCGAGGAAATGTTCACACATGCACAGAAAGGGTGGCTTGACTACCGCACATACACTCAAAGGATTTTGCCCACAGTAACATCAGTGGATTTACTTTTATTTTTTCAAAAAGTAAGCACTATAGAAAATGATCATACAACAATTTTGTTTTCGTCAATAAAACCGCCACTTACCTTCTTTCCAACAATTTCTGAAAAAGAAAAGTAGAATGCAGGCCTTTCTAAACATTCTTCAAGCACTTAAAAAGCTCACTCTCACTCTTTCAGTATTCTTTACGAAATCTTCTGCCCAATTCACCCCAATTCAATGGAAGATAGGTTA